GGAGGAGTCAGTAATAAAATCAAAATCTGCTACCTCTTCCTAACTCTGCAACTATGTAGGGAATTACTAGCTCTTCTGAGCTTCAACTACCTAATTATGAAATGCAAATAATAATATATAACTCCCCCTGTGTTGGTGAGGAATTAGGCACTCAATCAATACACAGGTGCTGCATACATTTTATGGCTGGGCCTAGAAACTAGGGACCTGTATGTTAGACCTTACTTTAATCCTTAAGTTAGCATTCACAATTTAAACTTTGAATTTTAGGCTAGTCAATAAGTTGCAGGTAAGAAATTCTGATGAGGCACCTGAAAGAAGACTGGGAAAAGACTGAAGGAATAACCCATTCAGAACCTGAGACTTCCAAAGAGCCACAACTTCTGGTTACCTAGGAAAAATTTCATTCCCTTTATTGAGGGAAGGATCCTCCTTGGGAAGAGTGACAACCAACAAAAAGCAGCAAGCTCTTTCATTTCTTATGCTGACTCACAGAATGAGCCCGTGACATGCACTGCAGGCCTGAGTCTCCCTGGAACTTCTGGGACTTGTTTCAAGGCTGCAAGGAAGCCCTTGCAGAGTTACAGGGTTGGAGGAATGAAAGTTAATGGTAATGGAGCTCAGCTGAGAAACCTAAACATCTGGAAGTGAGGCCTATTTTCAATAGCTAGGGAGAGAAGAAAATAAAACCCACGGCCCGGCTCTGGTCAGCTATAGGAATACTTCCTGCTAAATACCATTCCTGCTAAAACTGTATGAAAATCAACTGATGAGTAAGTTCACACATAAAAAAAAGGAAATAAGCTAAGCAATACAAACTATCCAAGAGACTTATATTTTTTTTCATTTTTATTATTTTTTTAATATATTTTTTATTGATTAAGATATTACATATGTGTCCTTATCCCCACGTTACCCCCTCCCCCCTCCCCCCCGCTCATGCCCTCACCCCCCGCCCCCCATTGTCTGTGTCCATTGGTTAGGCCTATATGCTTGCATATAAGTCCTTTGGTTGATCTTTTCCCCTTACCCCCACCCTCCCCTACTTCCCTCCAAGGCCCGACAGTCCAATCAATGCCTCTCCGTCTCTGGATCAGTCCTTGTTCATCAGTTTATGTTGTTCATTATATTCCACAAATGAGTGAGATCATGTGGTATTTATCCTTCTCTGACTGGCTTATTTCACTTAGCATAATGCCCTCCAGTTCCATCCATGCTGTGGCAAATGGTAAGAGTTCCTTTTTCTTCTTTCTCTTCTTAAAGAATACCTTTCAGCATTTCATATAATGCTGGTTTGGTGGTGATGAACTCCTTTAGCTTTTTCTTATCTGTGAAGCTCTTTATCTGACCTTCTATTCTGAATGATAGCTTTGCTGGATAAAGTAACCTTGGTTGTAGGTTCTTGCTATTCATCACTTTGAATATTTCTTGCCACTCTCTTCTGGCCTGCATGGTTTCTGTTGAGAAATCAGCTGACAGTCGTATGGGTACTCCCTTGTAGGTAACTGACTGCCTTTCTCTTGCTGCATTTAAGATTCTCTCTTTGCCTTTTGCTCTTGGCATTTTAATTATGATGTGTCTTGGTGTGGTATTTTGGATTCCTTTTGTTTGGGATTCTCTGCGCTTCCTGGACTTGTAAGTCTATTTCTTTCACCAGGTAGGGGAAGTTTTCTGTCATTATTTCTTCAAATAGATTTTCAATATCTTGCCCTCTCTCTTCTTCTGGTAACCCTATAATTCTGATGTTGGTACGCTTGAAGTTGTCCCAGAGGCTCCTTACACTATCTTCATATTTTTGGATTCTTTTTTCTTTTTTGGTTGGGTATTTTTTGTTTCTTTGTATTTCAAATCTTTGACTTGATTCTTGGGATCCTCTTGTCTGCTGTTGGATCTCTATATATTATTCTTTATTTCAGTCAGTGTATGCTTAATTTATAGTTGGTCTTTTTTCATATCCTCCAGGGTCTCACTAAATTTATCGGCGGTTTCCATAAAATTCTTGAAAAACCTTATAAATGTGGTTTTGAACTATATATCCAGTCGTTTGCTTTCCTCCATTTCTGTCATTTGTGACCTGTTTCTTTGTCTCCACATTTTTTATGCTTCCCTGTGTTGGTAGCGTGGTTTTGTGTGCTAGGTGTCCTGTAGGGCCCAGTGGCTCAGCCTCCCCAGTTACCTGAGGTGGACACTCTTGGTGCACCCCCTTGTAGGCTTTGTGCACAGTCTTGCTGTAGTTATGCCTTGATTGTTGTAGGATCACTGGGAGGAATTGACCTCCAGGCCAATTGGCAGTGAGAATCAGCTGTGTCTACAGTGGGAGAACTTCTGTGCTCAAGACACCCTTCTGGGGCAAGACTTGCTTCAGTGGGGCTTTGGTGCTCACTGAGTCTGCCCTCTGAATGTGTCCCTTATGGATCTGAAGAGTTGTAATCTGGATTATCCCACTCTGACCACTGGGTACACTGGCTCTTGGATCCAAGGAGGTGCTAATTTAGCCTCTGCCTGAGGTTACCCAGCAGGAGCTACGAAGAGAACTGCAGATTCCCCTTCCTTTTTTGGAGTTTGGAGGTGCCCAGATGAGGCCCAGCTGTGAAGCAATGCAAGCTGCTGTGGGGCCTTGGGCCTTCTCTTGGAAGTTCTGGGTCTGTCTAGCCCAGCTGCAATTTGTTAGGTAATATTCAGGTTGCAAAGGGCCAGGGCATTCATATGCAAAAGCCTCTGCCACAGCTTGGGTGGGGCGGGGTTTCAGGGAATCAAAGGGTGGAGCAAGCAGCTATGGCTGATCCTCAGCCCTCCCCTAAGGGGCCCCATGTCTCAGTGTCCTGGTAATCGCTGCACGCAGCTCTGAGGGAAAGCCGCCCTCGAGTTCCGAGTTCTGCCCGCTGCCAGACAGTCTGGTTTCTCCCCGAATGAATCCTGGGTCCCCAGAATCTTCCCGGAACCAGAGTTCAGAGCAGTCGGGAGCTCGTGACTCCCTCCCGATTCAAAAAGACAGCCGCATCCTCAGGTGCCAGCCCCTTTCCGCGCGCTCGAGCCTCAGTACCTCTGCATTTTACTTCCGCACCTCCTCTGAGTCTCAGTGTGCTTTTCTCTTTCCTTTTCTCAGTAGAATTTCCACTCAGCCAGCCTTCCTGTAGTTCTGGATGATGTCCGTTTTGTCTTTTCATTGTATTTTTGAAGTTGTTGTGGTAGGCAGCAATTTTCGGTGTTTACCTATGCCGCCATCTTGGTTTCTCCCTATCTTATTATTTTCTAATCAGCTGCAAACATCTTTTTATCTAGAGATTCACAGCACAGTGGTTTGCATTGTGGCTCCATCATCACCAATGTGACTTTGGGTAACTTATATAACCTCATGGCTCCTGTGTTTGAGTAGGTAATACACAAACTTACTATAAAATTCAAAAAGAATTTCCCTTCTCTTACCCTGGCTCCCCAATCAGAGGTAATGCTTGGTTCTCTCATCTTTCCAGATATGAAGCATCATTTAAAATTAGGGAAAGCAACAGCATACCCAACCAACTGGTTATTATTTGTCATGACAAATGCTGTTAGGAAAAATTTTTAATAGCTTAAAGACTGTGTTGATAAGTGAAAAAAAACCCCTATAAAATTGTATTTAAAGTACAATTCTAATTCAGTATAAAAATGCATATTAAAAACATGAAAGAAATACATCTGACGATCAAAAGTGGCTGCTTCTGCATTGTGAGATTAAGGTTGATTTTCTTCCCCTGCATCTGTCAACCTTAAAAAAAAAAAACTTTAAAGAAATTCTAAACTGAACACTTATTTCACAACCAGGAAAAATTTACTCTATGTCATGTTATGTGCTCTTTTTCTTCTTATTATTTAACTAATGGCCCGGTGCACGAAATTCATACACTGGAGAGGCGGGGGTGTATGTGTTGGTCCCTCAGCCCGGCCTGCACCCTCTCCAATCTGGGACCCCTCAGGGGATGTCCAACTGCTGGCCTCATGGCCCCCAACTGCCCTCCCCTGCTGGCCTCATGGCCCACAACTACCCTCTCTGGCCCGTCTCCTGGAAGGTCTCCCAGTCTAATTAGCATATTACCCTTTTATTAGTATAGATACTGCTACCAATTTTGAAAACAGTGTCTGGCTGCAGAGTATAACTATATTAAAGGTTTTCATTCCCTCCATTTCCAAAATGGAATTGATTAAAGATACAAATTACAACTATAAAGTGAGCAAGACACTTTTTGTTTGTTTTAAACAAGCACTTCACATCTTTCATCATCAAATGATTGTTCTTGGGAGACCCACACTTATTTATTTTTTCCCCATACTTATTCTTAAAGTGAAAAATGTGCAAAATAACGCTATAAATTATTTTCAGAAGAGAATTTACACCCAGGCATTGAGGCTTCATTCCCATCACCTCAGGTAGGAAAGCTAAGAGTGAGGTGGGGTGGGCTGACAAGATTCTGCTGGACTCTGGCACAGAGTGTTTTGAAAAGGCCCAAATCTCTCCTCTGTCCCTTGCACTGGGGAAGTGAACACATGTATTCAGTCCCCCATGTCAAGAAACACTATGTATGGTGACAAAGGACATTCCAGAGTTTCCTGCACAAGCTCAGAAGCTATTCTGCCTCTCCAAAGCCACCAAAGGGGTGATAATCTCAGTTTCCCATCTCAGTTCATCATCTGCTTCTTTTGAGCTATTCAAAGTTTACACCTGCCACTGGCACAAATGAGGAAGGGCTTCGGGTTTCAAAATTTCTCCATTAAAATGGGAGCTAAGAAAAACAGAGGGCAGTGGTTGTGGCAAGGTTTAACCATGAATGTTGGTGTCCAAATATGGGGCACATAGACAGGTAGGGCTTCCCTCACACCCACCAGAGGTTAGTCAGCTCCTCGACAATCCCAGCAGACAGAAACCTCAGGCAGCAGGGTTTTGTGATTTAAATCAAAGTACTATTTGGAGGCTGTGAGTCTATATGCTTCTTTTACAGATGGATCAGGGCAGGGGAACTTACTGAGAGGTCAACAACTGTCTTGATGGCCTTTTCTTTCCTCTTTATGAAGTCATCATCCTGTACAACAAAAAACAGGGATTAAACAAATCTTGTGTGAAGACGGAAACTCAACTGGACTGCTCAGAAATCTGTCTTGCAAACTGACTTCACATCATAACTTCACCTGAAGAAGTCTCAATTTTCTAACAAATTGAAATATATTATGTATGGGAAAAAGTTAGAGCCTCTGCAGGTCTTAAAACAGATTCCTATAGCTGGTAAGAAAAAGGGGAACCATAGGTGCAGACAAGTGGTCTCATTTCAAATCCTTATGAGCTCTGAAATCTCAGGCAAGTTACCTAATCTCTAAGCCTCAGTTTCTCCATCCGTAAAATGGGACAACATCACCCATCTCAGGGAGCAGTTGAGAGGATTAAGGAGTAGAAGGTATGTGATATGCTTGGACTAGAATATAGTAAGGATTATGATGGCTATCAGCTGTTGTTGAGATTATTATTAAACTGTTAATATAGGAATGTCCTAGACAGGTGGTCTCTCGAAAACCTTTATATGACTATACAAAAATATACTCATGTTCTTGTAATTTAAGAAAAGTTCTTAAACAAAAGGACAAAATTGTAGGGCTTTATACTCAGCACCCCCTAAAAGAGACAGCTCAAATGAATTTGGAGGCCCCGTTTCAATGCTGACGCAGCAGAGGCAGAGATGGCATGCAGGAATGGGCAGGCAGGGCAGCCTGAGCTTACTGAGCTTCTTCCCAGGGAGGCTGTAAGTATGCACTCATGGTCTCAGCAGACAAGAAAAGTAAAAAACTGACCTCAGGGAGACTGTAGGTTTTCTGGAACTGGGATATAGAGTAGGCGCGGATGTAGTCACCCATCTCTTCTTTTGTTTCTATAGCTCGCTTCACCAGCCACTGGGGAAGAAGTTAGAAATGTGAGTAAGGATGAAATCCTACCATGGTGAAGGTCAACTTAGAGACGGCACAACTCAGGAACCCAAATCACCATATTTTAATGGACCAGGTGATGAGAAACTATCAACGTGTACTGTCCTAAAAAACCCTTATGAGTGATGGAAATAAATGGAAACAAAGCCACCAACTAGGCATCTGGATGCTAAGACCCAGTGGGACCTAGAGCAGAGTAGCTGTGCAGGAGCTTTAAAGCCTCACCTCAGATCCTCAGGACTCAGTTTCCCCCTCTGCATAAAGCAGAGGTGAAGCTGTGGGAGCACATGAAATCACAAGTACCAGAGTGCTCTGTAAGTAAGTACCTGAAGCACAATACAAACAGAGCTATTCCCACAGCCAACTGGTTCTAGCAGATCTTAATGTAACTTTCTCCTGGGCTGCTTGCACCACAGACCAGAGAATAGGGAAGAACCACAGAGAATATCTAGTGTAACCCCTCATTTGACAGATAAAAAAAAAAATCCCCAGATATTCAGATTTGAGAATAGGGTGTACTGAGTAATAGCCCTAGGCTCTGGGTCAGTTTGGTACTCACAACATTTTCTCTCTTACTCCACACATGATAAAGCAATTGGTACTGGCTGCGTTTTACAGAACCTGAAGCTCTGAGGCCACGTAATTTGCCCACTGATCCATAGCTAGCAAGCCACAATGCTGTGAGTCACAACTGGGAGAGTCTTCCACACCAGAAGACTGGTCAGATGGATTTTATTATAAATGTTTCCCAGTTCTAATGAGCTGATATGCAGAAGTAGCTGCTCTTCATTTTTCCCTACTTAAAACTCCAGTTAACTAAAACACACACATGCACACACCCACACCCCATAACCTGCGGAAGATCCAGGTGCTCTTAGGTAAGAATGCAAAGAGCAAAAAAGAGCCTTCTCTTCTCCTGCCCTGGCTCTTCATTCATTCCCTTTATTACTGAAGAACATTATGGAAGGGGATCCCATCTGTCAGGGTTGTCCTTCCCTCTCCAGAAAAAGCTATTACATCTCAATAGCAGTTTTTGGATAATAGTTGAGTTTCCTCAAGAGCACAGCCAAACTTGGAAAATTTTGTTACCTAAGAAAGTAGACACATGGCATATAACATGCTGTTCCCACAGGGATAGAAAGAATGCTTGCTCACTGAGGAGGCCAGCTCAGGTAAAGGTCACATTTAGGAAGTAAATGTTTAGGAAGTTGCCCAGGATAGGGGTAGCTGCAAGTAACTATATGAGGAATATTCTTTTGTTGTTAATATCTTCCATTTATTTCCATTACTCCAAACAATGACCTCAGGTACTGACTAAAATCCAGAAGGAGGGTGGAAAGTCAGACAGCATTCAGAATTACTCTAGCCCAGCGGTTCTCAACCTGTGGGTCAAGACCCTTTCACAGGGGTCGCCTAAGACCATCGGAAAACACGTATATAATTATATATTGTTTTTGTGATTAATCACTATGCTTTAATTATGTTCAATTTGTAACAATGAAATTGGGGGTCACCACAACATGAGAAACTGTATTAAAGGGCCGCGGCATTAGGAAGGTTGAGAACCACTGCCTAGCCTCTTACCCAAACCCCATGCAACACCATGGTCCAGGATAACTAAGGAGGCTGACTCTTCCTCAACTCAATTTTGCTCTGCTTTCCTTCAGATGGGGAGAGCCAGCTTCTGGCCTTTCATACTTGTTTCTTATTCAGATTTACCTCTATTAATCAGATCTATACTGGAGTTATTACGTGGCTGGATCCTGGAGAGTGTGATCAGATAAGGAGAGTAAAGCCTGTTGAGTCACTGGTTCCCTGAGAGAAATGATTGCTCTGTTTTGGAGTTCCCAGTATGAAGGGTTATAGAGGGAACTTCTTAGACGACCAAGCCACAGATCCCAACCATTTGAAAAAAATACTTATCCTCACAGGATTCACATGTCCTCATGGGAGAAAAAGATGTGACCTAGAACTAACAGTGGCTGGAAGTTCGATTGTTTTCCTCTTGGCTAGCATTCAGAATGCATTACTGTAGCTTCGCTATGTGAATGTGGGTGGTGAGCCTCTATCACATGGACAATTAATTCAATGGTTCCCAATCGATGGTCTATGACTGTTCTTTCATTGGTCACCAGCAAAACAGGAAAAAACTATAGGCATGTGGTGAGTTTTTCATAATGCTAAAGGTATTAAATTCGAAGACTTGTCCTTAGTCTGAGATTGGGGCTAAATGATATTTCTTTTAGGAAATGATGATGAAAGTAAGGCAGCTGTTAGTTTAAAAAGCACTCTTGCCTGCCCTAGCGGGTTTTGCTCAGTGGACAGTGTGTTGGCCTGTGGACTGAAGGGTCCCAGGTTCGATTCTGGTCAAGGGCATGTACCTCGGTTGCTGGCTCCACACCAGCCTGGCCCCAGGCCCTGGTTGGGCCTGTGCAGGAGGCAACCAATCACGTGTTCCTCTCACATCGATGTTTCTCTCTGCCTTTCCCTCTCTCTAGAAATCAATGAAAAAATATTCTCGGGTGAGGATTAAAAAAAAGAAAAAAGCATACTTACCTTCCAAAATACAGGTGCACTGTCAGTTAACCTCCATTTTTGCTTTTAAATTTTATAGGTCCATGAAATTAAGAAATTTAGTAATCATTAGCCTCGGCTCTCATATTAAGACAGAAAGCTCTCCAGCATTCTACTCACAAAACAGAACCGTTCATTCAGACACTCAAATGCCCAAACTAGAGAAGAGCACTTCCCTTTCATCCCTTTTCACATCTGGACTAGATTTTTTGCCCTCAAAGTTCCAACAGAGGGTTGAGTAGGTCTAATCACTAGAGATCCAGGCTTCTGGGGGTGGGAAAGGCAACAACTTCACAGCATAATAATGTTTCAGTAACAATCAACACAGGGTCCCTACTTTATTTTCACAAAAAGAATTACGTACCCTGTACTTGAATCAGAGAGACAAAAGTCTACCAAAGATACAAATCAAATTTTGAGTAAAAGTCTTAGGCTCAAATTTACAAATTTCATGGTATGTGATTTGAAGTCTAATGCAGGGAAGATTCCCATAACAGTAATAACAACAGAAACAACTATATAATACTTATTTAAAGCACTTACTAAATGGGCCAGTCCTTCAGGCAAGTGCTTTACACAAAATAACATAATTCTCATCCTATCAGGTAGGTACTATTATTATTTCTATTTAACAGAAGTTAAGTCTTTGCCTAAGGTCACACATCAGAGCCAAGATTTGAACCCAGGAAGTCTCCAGAGTCCATGCACCTACACTATATAATCTTGACACAGACTTAGAAGATGTTTCTAGCCAAAGCTGCATGGCCTTCTCCTTGCTGGCTGCATGAATGGAGGAGTGGGAAAGGACAAGGCTTGGAGACAGAGCCTTTAGACTGGAACCTTTGCTGTGCTACTCTGCCTGTAGGCAAATCAATTACCCTTTCTGAGTCTCACCATCCTCAAATGTTAGACTGGGATTATAACAGAAGCTTCAAAGGCTCTATTAGGATCAGATGCAAAGCAGTGTTCACAGCACAGGCAACAAAGGTGAGTCCCTTTGCTCCTCCTCTTTCCAAGCGCCTGGAGGGGAGGCACACAAGAACTGCAGAGAATACTGGGAGCTGGACAGCGCGAAGCACTTAATCACAGGGTCCTGGGGAAAAACTGAGGTGGTCATAAGCCTCCCGACAGACATTTAGTCATCAAACAGCACTGAATGCCTACAAAGCGCCAGAAGTCCATGAGGTGCTGGAAGCACAACAGTGAGCAAGACAGCCACGGTGCCTGCCCTCATGAAGCTTACAGCTGGGTGGAGAGACAGATAAATAATCACACACTTGAATATACATGGTACAAACTACAGTAAGGGTTATTCCTGTGAAGAAAGGGAATGTGGCCCTATGAATGGATATGGCAGGAACCTGCTCTAGATTATTGGGTAAGGAGAAGCTTTCTTGAGGAGGCTTGGTAGAACTGAGGTCTGAATAAGTAAGAATTAAACAGAAAAGAAGAAAAGGGAAGAGCTTTCCAACTTGGGGGAAAGGCCCGTGACAGGGGGAAGTATAATAACTATGAGAAAAACTGAAAGTCAGAGGAACCGAAAACGAAAGAACAAAGGAAAGCAAGGAATGAGGCTGGACTGGTTGGAAGCGACCAGAGCATGGGGGCTGTGGAGTCTTATCTTTACCAAAAGGACAATAAAAAGCAACTAATGGGGACATTCAGAGATCAGGTGACTGTGAAACTAGGGGAGGAGGAGTACCAGCGACCTTCTGAGGATGACATCAGGAAACATCATCATGTTTTGCTGCCACCAAATCCACACCACACCCATTAGATCCAGGATCTAGGCCAGGCAGCCCAAGAGGTAGACCTGTTACAGGAATTCAACGTTCAGAGGAAAAGAAACCACACCAAGACTCTCACCTGAACAACGGGAAATATGTGAATAAAATCCATCCCCTGGATCTGGTGAGGCTCCAGCTGGTGTGGACACTTCATTCTTGGCAGAACAGAGACAATTTTTTCTGATAGAGCTCTATTTGGAATAAACAACAAGCAAAGAGTGAGAACACACTAAGTGGCTCTTAAGACATCTCTCAAGTCTGGGCAGCATCCCAGAAAAATCTGAGGCTTCTCAATGCCAGACCATGACCAAGTTTCTCCTGACTGGCTGCAAAATTAGGAAAAATAGGCACAATTTAGATGTGTGCATATAAGGCCACAACACTGCCTTCATCCTTTATTCTAAGATTGTATGCTTCCTACCTTTTTATATTAAAATATTTTGATTCTTTATGAAATCATGGTGATGTTTGAGGTAGTAGTTATTATTTTTTAACATCTTTAGATGATAAAATAAAAAGTTATCAGTAGCCTATGTTCTTTTACATTTCATTTTACTGACCTACTTTTTCCAAAAGTCTGGGAAACACCGGTTACACATTTAAAAAATTGTTGTAAATATCAGTCAGGCCAGGTGTCCAGAACAAGATGAAACACGGTGCCACAAGCTCAAGAAAAAGTTGGGAGTTCTCTACTCTGGCACAAAAGTATTTTTAAAATAAAAAGTCACCTTTAATGTTTTGATACTCTAAAATCAATGGTAGATTTGAGAGAAGCATGCATCCTCACACTTCTTTTTCCAGAGAGAAATTTCCGACTGCTCCTGAGGGACACTGATCTCTCTCAGTTTTCCTCCTAAGAGGCTCTGGAATAGGAGGGGAGGAATCAGGCTCCCAGGTCTAGAGCATTCTTGTCTCCGTCAGGAGGTAAACCTCCGCCTGCTGGACAGGTTTTCCAGTTCAAGCAGGGCCTGGTTGGGACCGTTTTCTGGTTGGAGTGATAGAGGGACTTGAGTACAAGTCCATTTTACCACAGATTTAAGCCTCCTTCTCTAATCAGATGATATTTGATCTCCAACAATCTTTGTCTATCTTAATTGAATCAAAGGCGTGAATAAAGGTTATTTAGTGGTTCTGCTAAACCCCAAAGCCATGGCACACAGATAAGGAAGCTTGAGAAACAGTTACAAGGTATGGACCGGAAGGGGCCATATGGAGAAATGCGGGCTTTTGGCTCAGACTACATGGATAATTTAGGTTATATCCCCACTTAAGAACCTTAAAAAAATCTTAGCCAGTTACAGCAAATATTGTGGCCCTGTCTACAAGTATAGGACTATTTGCTAATGGATGAATGCCCTGGTGAATGAGGTCACCAGGTCTTACCAGTTGCTTCAAACTCAGTGATTTTGGGTTCCCGGTTCAAATAAATCTTGTACAACTTTATCTTCCTGCAGTTCCATAATCCTTTACAGGAGACAGACATTCTTAAGACCAAAATCTAACTCAGGTCTGGGTGAGAGCAATTATTGTCTTACCTATGCTCCCTTAGTATGTTTCATCTCCTCCGTCTTGGTAGGAACTAAGTAATCAAGGGACAAAAACTAAATGGCTCCCCAGGGAATTGTCTCTGGAGAACACACTACAAAAACATTTATATACAGAAAGTAGCTATACAAGGTGGGATCAAGGTTAAAACTGCAGAGGGAAACAGCCACATCCCAGCTCCACTGATCCGTAATAATGTCAAGTGCAATGTTAAGAGAAAAATATTAAGACTGATACTCTACTGCACACATGCACAGAAAGTAAGGAATATCCACCTCCCAGAATGGAATCATACAGGAGGTGTGATTTATCCAAAAGGTCTGAGCTATGAAAGAAAATTGTCACATGGCCCAGCCACTCCTGTAGCCCCTCCTTTCTGAGCAGCTTATGGGTCACATGCTTCTTTCTGCCTCAGATATGTGCCCTGCCCCAGTGGGGCAGCCCATGGTCCAGCTGTTCCTGGGGCTCAAACTGAATAATTTAGTAGAGAAATATTAACAAACCTATTTGGCAACATCTAAGGCTCTCTCTCTGATAAATTTTATTTTCATCTCCATAAGACTCCTATACCTTGAAACCTGAGAGGGGACGAAGTGGGTGCTAAATTGATCTTGCTCCCGAACTCCAAGCTTAGCAAATGAAAATGATTACCAACCCTGGCTCTGTCTCCTTCTCCAGGCAGGTTTTAACTATTTATATATGTGGGGGGCCACCTTTCTTGAGTTATCTTTTGGTTCAGTAGGAGGAAAGCTCCCTCTAGTGGTACAGATTTATGTGTTTGCATAAGGTTATTGATTGCCCTACAACCCGTCCACAACTCAAAAATGAGGCTGGGACTCCCAACAACAACCAGTGTGGGGCATGTAGGCGGCAACTGACCAATGATTCTCTCACATCATTGATGTTTCTATCTATTTCTCCCTCTCTCTTCCTCTCTGAAATCAATAAAAATATATTTTAAAAAAAGACAAGAGATAACAAGTGCTGGCAGGATGTGGAGAAAAAGGAAACTTTGTGTACTGTTGGTGCAACTAGCCACTATGGAAAAACAGTATGGAGGTTCCTCAAAAAATTAAAATTAGATCTATCATATGATCCAGAAATTTCATTTCTGGGTATATATTAGAAAGAAAATCACTATCTCAAAGAGATATGTGAACCCCCATATTCATTGCAGCATTATTTGCAATAGCCAAGACATAGGAATAACCTAAGTGTCCATCAACAGATGAATAAATGTAGCATATACATACAACGGAATGTTACTAAGCCATAAAAAAGAAGGAAATCCTGCTATCTGCAACACCATGGATAGCCTTGAGGGCACTTTGCTAAATGAAATAAGTCAAAGAAAGGCAAATACTATGTGGACTTTCTTAATCGAACTCATAGAAAGAGAGAGCAGATTGGTGGTTAGCAGAGGTGGAGGTGGATGAAATGGGTAAAGTTGGTCAAAAGGTACAAAGTTCCATTGTAAGATAAATAAGTTCTGGGGATGTAATGTATAGCATGCCATTTTATCAACACTACACTGTATATCTGAAAGTTGCTAAGAGAGTAGATCTTAAAAGTTCTTATCGTGAGGAGAAAAAATTTATACCTATGTGAGATGATGGATGCTGACTTGTCGTGGTAATTATTTTACAGTGTATATAAACTCAAAGCATTATGTTGTATACCTTAAGCTATAAATGTGATGTGTCAATTATATCTCAATAAAACTTTAAAAAAGTTTTTAAAAAGTGTTAGAAATAGCCTGAACACTGAAATGACTCTTATATGCTACCTGTGTGACCTTGGTTTATTTCATTCCCAGTTTTGTAATCTATTAACTGCGATATTACCTGTTGTAATGAAAACTAAAATAAGTACAGTGTCTAACACAACTTCTGGCACATAGTAGGCACTCAAAAGTTACTCTCTTCTCCTTTTTGGCTCTTCCATGGCAAACCCTAACAACTTACATTTTTTGACCTATTGTAGAGTTTTCTTGAAAGAGCAAATCAACATCTACATCAAAGTTGCAAGTGGTAATGCACCAAGTCATTCCTCCTACCACCTGCAAGACAAAGAAAATATGTGTTTCTTCTTTCGAGCTTGGGGAGAGGGGAAGAAGTCAAAGGTAGTCAACATATAAATATATTTTACAGACTCAATAAACATACAAAATTATGTATTGTTAGAGAGAGTGTATATGTCCTGACTTCATCAACTACAATTCATCTAAGATAGCAGTGATAGCAAGGTTCTGTACCTGCACTGTCCAGTACAGCAGCTGTTAGCCACATGTGGTTACTGAGCACTTGAAATGTGGCTAGTGTGACTGAGAAAGTGACTTTTATTACTAAATGGGCATAGACTTGCTTTATACTGAAGGAGACAGACATTAATTCTTAGATGAGAGAAGTCTTAAACCAGTTTTGAGTAGTGCTAGATTCCAGAGAGATTATCTGTTTAATAGACCAGACACATGAGTAGCAAAACTGACATTTTGTGGCTCATTACTTTATTTTCATACCTCTAATTTTTTTCACCTACCTAAAGGAGATGTGAATTCCTGCTCTACTTTTCCCACAGGATTTCTCTGAGATGCAAATGAGACTAAGGCTAAAAATCCATTTTGAAATTAAAAAAAAAAATAGCAATCTTACTTCTGGCTGTGCTTAGACCCACGTGAGATGCCTAATAACATACAGATTCCAGGCCCCAGCCCAGACCTAAATGACCAGAATTTCAATGGGTGAGGCCTAGAGATCTGTATGCTGAAACAATGCACAGTGATTGTTATGCGCAGTCAGAACTGTGGCCCACTGGAGCACTCAACACTTTTTTCCACCAGGAAGCTTTCCTGGCCTGTCCTGTCTGATGTGGACGCTTCCTATCTGTATACAGTTCACTACAGTAGTACTTACTGCATTGTGCCGCTTATTCTGTGCATGTTGGTATACTTGTCTCTTTTCCCTATGCTATAGAAGTCGAGGCCTTTGAGTACTGGGTGTCTGTCTTACCTCTGTGCCCTCAACACCTAGTACTATGCCTTGTGCATAGTAATTGTTCAAGATTCTGCTGAATTAAACTTCACCCCATAGTGACTTCTCCCTCCTCCAAACTAAGCATTTACCACCCACCCACAGGAAATCTGACAATTGTCTGTGAACACACTGATTTGGGATGGCTCCTTATTAAGTCAGATTATTTTATTTTACATAAGTTTTATCTTCCCACCCAAACTGTAAGTTCCTTGAAATGAACTATTTCTTTTGCTTATTTGCATTTCCAAATTTCATGCATAGAAAAGTAATTCAAAGTGTGTCTACTGATACGTTATTATTTTCTTTTAATAAGAAACACTTCTATAACAAATCTGAATAAGGGAGAAATGGAAACACGGACGTGGAGAAAGGAAAAAATACAATCTCTTCCTCGTTTCCATAGTTAACCATGCCATCCTGACAAAAAAATGGCCTAATAGTTAGAAAGATGTCCTCTCACCTTATCAAAAGGTGACAAGCCTTTAATTCTTGCCCTGAAATACCCAGCTGCAACCAAGAGCTCCAGAATTTCAGTTAACTTGACATTTTGTTCTTCATCTTCTCTTGTTTCCACCTAAAACAAAAGGTGAAAAGCTGTAAAAGCTACCTTGAATACAGAAACACCAGATATAGCTCCTGATGCCACAACATGGTCAGGTGAATTGGCTATATCATTGCAGTCATGAAGGAGCATGGCCCACAGAGCTGCCAGAGCTTCACAGAAGAGACTCCCCAGGTTTCTCTTCTAATCATCATAGGTGAGGGCAGAAGACACAGGTAGCACAGCCTACTTACCAGGTGCTGAAGGAATCCAGAGAAAGGAAGGTTAAGGCATGTTACCTCCCTGTTCTCTAAGACATGGTGTACTTGACAGGCTTCTCAACTAGATTATAAATCCCTTACAGAGGAACAAGGTGTTTTTGTGTTTTTTTAACTTCATACTCACTTTGATCCATATTATTTTAAAGAGGGCAAGAACAAAGAATTCAAATATGTATGCCTCTCCACACTTCTCTTTTTGATCTCTAAGACAAACATAAAGAAGGCTTTCAACTCAGAAATATTAAAGGGTGATTATTGCCATATTATCAGGATTGCCTTAAAAACAATAAATTCACCTAATATAATAAAAAAATTGTTAAATTTACAGGGTGGGGCAAAAGTAGGTTTACAGTTGTTGGTATGGAAAAGAATACAATCCTATATAATAAAAGGCTAATATGCAAATTGACCAAACCACAGAATGATTGGTTACTATGATGCACACTGACCACCAGGGGGCAGATGCTCAATGCAGAAGCTGCCCCCTGGTGATCAGTGCGGTCCCACAAGGGGAGTGCCGCTCAGTCGGCTCACAGCTGGCAAGCGCAGCAGCGATGGTGGGAGCCTCTCCCGCCTCCACTGCAGGCGGGCTGTAAAGAGTGAGGAGCCCTGGATTGCCAGAGCCCCGGACTGCAAGAGGGATGTCTGATTACCGGCTTAGGCCTGATCCCCAGGCGGACATCCCCTGAGGGGTCCTGGACTACGAGAGGGCACAGGCTGGGCTGAGGGATCCCCCTCCTCCAGTGCATGAATGCTGTGCACCAGGCCTCTAGTAATTAATAAATAATAATACAAGAATAAATTCTGTGTTTTGTATACTCACATCTGTAAACTTACTTTTGCCCCCACCCTGTATATCCTATCTTCACTGCCAGGTGTTTATTTACAAGTTAAATTTATCAAAATATTTTAGTACTTTTGCCCCCATTTACTTTAATGAACTGTGCCCCTTTCCTCTCTTGCATCACTGCCGGGGGGGGAGGGGGGGGGAAAAGCCAAAAGTAAGGTGGTGTCTCTATAAAACACCACCAAGGTATTCTGGTTCAAATCTTTGTACCCACCACTTGGGACTATTCTTTTACTCAACAATGCCTGTTAAATCTTCCTCTACTAAGCATCTCACATAAATCCTCCCCTCCCTTTTATTTATACCTCATGCCAGGACTATTGCAACTGCCTCTCAATCTTTCTTCTCTGGTAATTTGTCTTGTTCATTCATTCCTAAAGCACAGCTTTCACATCATTATCTCTTTAGCTCACCCCCCAGCCCTGATCATTAATGCATCATACACTGTCTATAAGATAAACTCCAAATGTCTTAGTTTGGCATCCAGATTTTTGGCTGAAACCTATCTTTTCATCTTCATCCTTCACCTCCCCCCACAACAATCCTGACATGGTTATGGCCAACCTCCTACTCTCAATATTCTCTGACCACAGACAAATCATCAACATATTCTAGCTCCTATTTGATGCCAAACCCAGTAAATACAGCCTGAAATGCCCATTTCTCTGCATTTATATTTTATTTGTAATCTGTCGTTCATACAATTAAGTAACAGCCTCTTTTGAGTGACATGCCTGGTGTTAATGAACATGCCTATCTTTCCAAATAGACTATTATATTAGCTGTTTCAGGAAAGGAAATAATATTCACCCATGTTTACTCCTCTGTTCTGAAACAGCATTCTGGCTTCAAAAACACACTTTTTATAGAATGACATGCTCAATCATTACATACAGTGCATGACCTAAGCCATTCATGTATGAGCAAAATGTTTTAATAGTCATGACACTGATGATGGAAAATCAAGTTTATTTTGAAGTACAAACTGCCAAGAGAGGGAGTATACTTATTAACATATGCGTATAGTTGAACAAGGAATTATTAAAGTGACTGTTAATCCCTTTGAATGGGGGTGGAGGTGACAACTATGCACTAGTACTCATTTTTTTTTTTTTCCTGAGATATAGGCAAGGCGAGTGGCAGCTGCAGGTATTATGCTGACCTGAGCTGTTAAAGTCTCTCCAGGTTGCTCTTGCATGCAGTTGGAGTGCACTAGTACTCATTTAACTTAACTCTCAAATGACCCTGGTCCAGCCTATCCAAGATTTTGAAGATTAGCATTCACCAGCTATTAGTGGACATGTATAAATAAGGAAATATTTATTATTCACACCTCCTCTTCCTTGGCAACAGATCTGTGATGGGTGAAACACAGCTGTAAGTGGAGAAACTCAAATAGAAGAGACGGTAAAGAGCAGTTACGGTTCACAAAGGTAGAGTAGGGGGGAAATGGGATGATACATACAAGAATTTTCTTCAAACTCCTGGGATGTAAGACAGGTAGCCTTCATTTGTTCAGTCATCATTTATCATAAAAACACTTCTAAGAGGAGGACAGAACATCATCGGAGGATCATCGCTGCTTCACTGCTACCTAAGGAGCACCCCCATGGAAGATGCATGGTCCATGCTTCCCAGCCACTCACCCCCAGAACACACGAGTGTACTTTTGCAATATAACCTGCGAAATAACTTTTTGGCACAAGACACTGAATGGATAATGCCAATAAGACTTCAAATTCATTTCAGAGATTAACACGAAATAGAAAAGAGCATGAAAGAATGCCCTCTGAAGTCATAGAAAGCCACCAGATTGGTTAATACATCCAATTGTTAAAAAAAAAACCAAAACAAAACTAAAATTCTGGTAAAGATGAATGACTGTGAGCTCCTAAACCAGGCACATTAAATTTCCAATTGCCTTGTATTGTCGTTCATGTAAGCTGGAGGGCAGGGCCAAGTCCAGCTATCGGCATATCCTCCGTACCATAAACGGTTTAAAAAAACGGATGTTAGTGAATTAATAGGACTAGTAACAGCTTAATCGCACAGAGTCTATGCACTAGTCTTTGAACTAAATGATAGTAACTTGATTTTATAGTCACCCTGCCTGCCTCCTAATTGCCAAGAACTGTCCTAGTCTCTTGGAAAAGTGACAAATAAGACCTAGCAGTTAGAGCAGGGTTAAACAAAGTTTATTTTAGAAAAATCCCCACAATGGGACACTGAATCAGAAGAATTTAAGATAGAACCAGGGAGATAAGACAGGAGCCTACAGCCAAAGGCCAGGCAAAAACTTGATGACATCCTCGAATAAAGAAGTGGCAAAAAAAAAGAAATGTTAAATAAAATATCACCATTCCTGGCTCCATCAAAGCAACTCACGTGTAAGGTTTTCCCTGACGCAAGGGCTCTGACATTAATTACACCTGTTAGGATTTCCTACGGTAACAACAAAACGGACTTGCACCCTGGGAACTCCCACTGACGGCCAAGTCCATCCCTTCATCCCTATATGCCCAGCTTGTATGCGCGATGAGTGGGTCCCTGTGACACGGAAGGACCTGGGCTGGGGGGTGGGGTGGGGAGGGGGGACAGAGAAGCAAGAAGGGGGGAGCTGCGAGCGAAGGAACCGCTCCCGCTGGTGTCCAGACATCAGTCCGCTGCCCAAGGCGGAGGGACAGGGGGCGGCGTGGGCTCCGTTTCTCCCGAGAACGTGACCAACTAGCTTTCGAGTAAATCCCCTGCGAGAGAAGGCAGATGTGAGCCACCTGCTAAGTGAGACTTGCACCGCGAGGGAAATGCACTTCCCCTTCACCCCCAGCCAACGTGGAAATCCGGAAACCACTGGTCATCCTGCCCCCGAACCCAGTGGGCGCTCAGTGCAAACCCCTCCGGAGGGAAAGGCACCGTTACCGCCCGGAGACGCGGCTCGGTTCCCGCGAAGCCGGGTCCCCGCCACACGGTCCCCGCCACACAGCTGACCCCGCCGGACACGACCTCCTGCGGGGACGGCCCCCAAATGTCTCCGCGCGGGGTGACCGCGGGGGCAACCCCCAGACACCAGGCGGGTGGGCTGGCCTCCCGGTCCCCGCGGGCCCCCGTCCGGCGGCGGCAGGCCCCAGGAGGTCACCGCCCTTTGCACAACCCGAGCCCGGACCGTCCCAAAGCCCATCTCGTGACTCATGGCGCAGCAGCCCCGGCCTCCGGGCGAGCCCCGCGGCGTCGAGGGTCCGGAAACTGCCCCGAGCGGGAGAGGCGGGGCCCGCCCCCGCCGGAGGGCCCGGTGGCGCCCCACAGATAGGCCGGGGCTCCCCGCGGGGCGCACCTGAGGGAGGGGGCGGGGCGCCCGGCGCGGCCTGGCCCTCTCTCGGGCACCCGACGTGTCAGGAAGAGGGGCTCCTCACCTCCGGGAGACCCTGGCCCTCCGGGCCCCTGGGCAGCCCCATCCTCCGGCTGGACGGACGTGCGGAGGCGCCGAAGCCGCGGAGCGGCCGGAGGAGGCTGTCCCCCGCCGCGAAGCCGCTACCGGGGTGGACTGCACAGCGGCCACTTCCTCCGCCGCCGCCGCCGCCGCGGGTCGGGAGCGCCTAGGCGGTGAGCATGCGCGCTGGGCGGGAACGCGGCGCGCGGAGCCTGCGCCTGCGCGAGGCGGCCCCGGTGGAGGCGGGACCCGGGGCCGCGGAGCCCAGTCCCGCGCGGCGGAGGCTGACCTCGCGCGGGGCTTCTGCATTTCCCTCCGGGATGCTTTATAAAAGGGCCTGTTCCCGCATCGTGGGGACGTTTCTCATCCCGGGTCTCCGCTCTGCTTCTCAGGGGCGTGAATCAAGTGGGTTCGGTTCTCCCCGCCAGCCCGACTTCGGGAGCCGCCTGGCTCGGGTCAGAGTCCGAGCGTGAAGAGCGCGGGCTTCCCCGCCGCGCCCGGCTCTCGCTCAGCACCGGCGGCCCCTCGTTACCGCGCCCTTGGGCAGACGTCTCACCTGCGGCCCAGGAACCGAGCCCCCGAACACGCTGTCCGCGCGCCTGCTGCCCCCCTAACGCCGGAGCCAGCGCATCGTGCTCCCCAAGAAAACTCGTCCGGGATAATGTGCCCCCACCCCACTCCCCACTATCCCCAGCTTCTGGTCTTCCTTAGGGAAGGTCTTCTCGAACATGCGACTCCGGTGTTGAGGTCATTTTAGCTGCCGCATCACTTACACGGTGCACCCCGTGTCCATCCCAGAGGATGGCAGCTTCGTGAGCGAGTTGTCTTCCTGGCCACAAGCCCCTGCACCTGCTCCGTAATGGCTTCTCCGGCGTTTTCTCCTCCTTGCCCCCCCCCCCCTTCCTCCTTCTTAGTGATGAAAAAAGCGATGGCATCTGAAAACCTTGTAAAAATTGATTTTAGGGAGCGGGGGGGGGGGGGACATCATCGATGTGAGAGAGAAACATCGACTGGCTGCCTCCCTTGTGCCCCCGACCGACCGGAATTGAACCCGTGGCCTTTTGTTGTGCAGGAGGAGCTCCAAGAAACTGAGCCACCGGTCACGGCTGCATATGAAAACTTTGGATGCTTCCCTGTGTGCTTTTGGGGAGGGGCAGGAGTGTGAGACTCTGAGCTTCTTGAGATCAAAAGGTGTGTGTGTGTGTGTGTGTGTGTGTGTGTGTGCGCGCGCGCGCGCGCTTCCTGTCTGCTTTCCAAGTGGTTATTCGGTAAGTGTTTGTCCTTGAAGAAATTCATGCCTTTTGTGCTCCTGGAGTTTATCCTGAAGGACAGAGATGTCTCTGGAACCTTAGGCCATTCCCCACCCGCACCCCCACCCCCGCCCCCGCCCCCTTCTCCTCCTCCTCCTCCTCCTCCTCCTCCTCCTCCTCCTTCTTTTTTAAATACATTTTATTAATTTTTTTTTTTTTTTTTTTTTTTTTTTTTTTTTTTTTTTTTTTTTTTTTTTTTTTTTTACAGAGAAGAAAGGAGAGGGATAGAGCAGTGATGGCGAATCTATGACATGCGTGTCAAAGGTGACACGCGAACTCATTTTTTTGGTTGATTTTTCTTTGTTAAATGGCCTTTAAATATATAAAATAAATATAAAAAAATAAGTCTTTGTTTTACTATGATTGCAAATATCAAAAAATTTCTATATGTGACACGGCACCAGAGTTAAGTTAGGGTTTTTCAAAATGCTGACACGCCGAGCTCAAAAGGTTCGCCATCACTGAGATAGAGAGTTAGATCAGCTGCCTCCTGCCCAACCCCTACTGGAGATGTGCCTGCAACCAAGGTACATGCCCTTGATGGGAATTGAACCTGGGACCCTTCACTCTGCAGGCTGCAGGCCTACGCTCTATCCACTGAGCCTAATCAGTTAGGGCAGCCATTTCCTTCTTAAATGTAGTTAGCAAATATTGCTGAAAAAACTTTGTGCCACCAGCCCTGGCCGGGGAGCTCAGTGGGTTAGAGTGTCCTCCTGGTAACAGGTTTCTGGTTGGATCCCCAGTCAGGGCAATACAAGAATCATCCAGTGACTACATAAGTAAGTAGAACAACAGATCGATACCTAGCTCACTCTCTAAATCAATACCCTCCCCCGCCCCCGCCCCCCCCCCCCCCGAAACTGTGTGCCACCTCTGCCAGTCACCAAGGATTAAGAAAAATTGAATATGCAGATTAAGGTGTTGAGATGGGAACTCTGTTAATGTTAGTTTTATGTGTGTTAAAAAATGATGAGCCCTAGCCAGTATTGCTCAGTGGTTGGAGCGTTGGCCCGGGTTTGATTCGGTGTAGGGCCCATACCTCTGCTGCAGGCTTGATCTCCGGCCCTGGTTGGGGCTTGTGCAGGAGGCAACCAATTGATGTTTCTCTCTGTCTCTCCCCTTCCCTTACATACTCTCTTTAAAAAGAATCGATGGCCGAAACCGGTTTGGCTCAGTGGATAGAGCGTCGGCCTGCGGACTGAGAGGTCCCAGGTTCGATTCCGGTCAAGGGCATGTACCTGGGTTGCGGGCATATCCCCAGTGGGAGATGTGCAGGAGGCGGCTGATCGATGATTCTCTCTCATCGATGTTTCTGACTCTCTATCTCTCTCCCTGTCTCTCTGTAAAAAATCAATAAAATATATTAAAAAAAAAAAGAATCGATGGAAAAAAATATCCTCAGGTGAGGATTAACAACAACAAAATGATGAAATAGAAATGACCTCTTGCTCTCACCCACTGTGACGCCAATGAAACTCAATTTCTAAGGCATCCACTCTCAATAACAACCAAATGTGTTATTTTTGTAATATTAAAATTGTCCTTCCTTGAGATGGTATTGAATGAGGGAGAATGGAGGGTGATAATTTGTAGCCACTGTTGGATGACCAGACAGGTATTGATGCCTAGGGACAGGTAGCAAAATCTCACATAGCAAGCAAGCCTAAATAGCTGTATATAAAGCAGTCCAGGGAATACGCTTAAAGAATAATAGGACTCGGTAGGCTACACAGGAGTCCCATATTGTAAAGTCTTTTGCAATGTTTCAAAAAAACATGAGCAGCTATCTTTCCCAGTAAGAAACTGCCCCCTTTAACTTTCTGTGTAAGGTCACAGTAGCAGACTTGAGTTGACAGCATGTTTTGTTTTTTTCCCTAAGAACCCAGCAAAACAACTCAAGAATGCTTAGGCAGCCCACTTCTGAGAGAGAAACCCCGCACAACCTTGGAGACAATGTGAGGACTCTCAGATAAATGCATCTCTCTCCCTGTCTCCTGGCTCAGGGTATCCATACACACATGTCGTCTCCCTGGTGAGATATTTGGGGATTAGGGATCCCCTGTCCCTCCTCTGCACATCCAGCACAGAGGTATGTGTTGTTCTTCTAAGTGCAAGATTCTCAGGAACCTCGCAGATACTTTCCTTCCTGGGTGAAAGGGTGCCAGAGCAAAGAGCTTCCTGTTAGGATCACCTTTATCCTGGAGGAAATTTACTATAGTCTCAACTATTCTCTCATGTTTCTCTTGGTCCTTTCATTCTGGGCTCTTGCTGTGACTAGAAGGGGAATCATGAGGTCTTGAAGCAGAAAGGGACTTTAGGAGGCATGTAGTACAGTTATGGGTGTTTGGAAAAGTGGACTGACATAGTTTAGGCCACATATTATGTTAATGGCAGTGCTGGGACTAGAGGCCCTCATTTCTCATGTCCTTTTATTCATCTATCATCCACCCACCCATTCATCCAACAGGTATTCTGAGTTCCTTCTGTGTCATTGGCTCTCAAGCTTGGCTGTGTGTTGGAGTCACCTGGGGAGCTTTAAAAGCTACCATTGCCTGAGTTCCACCCTCAGAGATTCTGATTTAATTGATCTGGGGAGGAACATAAATATTTGCTTTTTTTGAAATATATTGTTTTATACATAAGACAATATCTATCATTTATATGTAAACTGATACGGGGGACATATACCCTGAGCAACGCAGTAGTGAACAGTAACCTCATTACTATGTTTCTTTATAGAGCACAGTGGCACACAAAAAATTTAAAATTCATAAACAAAGAGTCCTTATGTTAAAAGAGTTCTTCCTGAAAATTCTTAATTGTATGCCAATCCATTCTCAAGTGGTAAAAGTTTATGGCACACTTTTTATTGAGGGGGAGTGACTATTAAACCTTCACAGGTGATTCCCCGGAACAGCCAGTTTGAGAACCACACCTCTCTGCGCTGGAGACACTGCAGTCACCAAACCAGACAAGTAATTACTGACACAAATTAAACATGCAAATTAATAAGATAATGTGGGGTAGAAATAAGTGCTCTGCAGGAAACAAAAGCAACAGTGTCACGTGATAGGGCATAGCTGAAATCAGAGGCTCCTTTAGGTGACAGATTCTCAGGATGGAGGGGAGACCTCAGTCCCGAGAAGGTGCCACGGGAGCGTCTCAGGGGAAAGCACTCCAGGCAGAAGGATGTCTGGATGTCTTCCCTCTGCCCCTCCAGATCCACGCTCATCCCTCTCACCCTGCCTGCTGCTATATAAGGCTGGCCAGGAAGGACCTCGCCAGCAGGGTGTGGAGTGTGGGCACCTAGGATGTGAAGATCCGGGTGTGGATCCTGGGGTGGAGAGATCTAGGCTATGGGCCCTGGAGAGGAGAATCTCAATTGTGATTCGGCTAAATGTATCAAAAACCTAAAAGCTATCCCTGGATATGATAATCCCACTTTTAGGATTTATGTACAAAGATCTTCATCACAATGTTATCTAGGGGAGAAAAACCTGGAAACTATGTAAATAGCGCATAAAATGGAAATGGTTAAATACATTATAGTATGTTACTGGTGTAACATCATGCTGCTGGTAAAAATATTCACTGCAGCAGGCCATGAAAGAAAAGGATGAGAGATGAGGCTATCTGAATATTAGCAATGTTTGCCTGTCAAAAAGTCATTTAAAACATTTAAAAGGCAGACTGGAAAAATATTCATTATCTGTGACAAGAGTTATTACAAATGAGGAAAAAAATAATAGAAAAATGAGTAAAAGACTTGAATAGAGACTACCTAAAAGAAATTGTCACTAAATATTTTTTAAAAGCAGATTCTCAGCCTGACATTAAAAAGTTAAAATTA